AAGTTCTAGTAACCTGCCACCAAACAACGCAGTCTGAGGCTTAGAGCTCCTCTCTCGAGTTCAGCCCCTGAAAGCCAACTCAGCTCCAAAAATTGTCATAAAAACAAAACCACAGTAAAAAACCCACATGGTCTATATCTGGTAAACACCACAAAAGCATACAGCTGTCTTCCCTGCCTGGAACAGAAGCCTCCTTCTCTTGCTGTGCATTTGGCTTCCCTGAATTCTCTATTTTGCTTCTTAAGGTTTGAAGCTTCCTGTGCCAAACACTGAGATCAGGGTTATGCCTGTGAAACCGTCAGTATCCCATTGTAGAGGCAGACCCTTTAGAATATAGAACAGGAGGAACATGCAATCCTGTGGGTGGCTCTTGGCTGTGAAAAAAGAAGACAAAGGGGCTGGACTATGCTCTCCTTCTAAAACCACTGGAGGCCAGAAGTGTGATGCTACTAGAACTCTCTTCCCATGAGCGGAAACTACAAGAGTGGGAAATAAAGTGTGCTGTCTAACATCCCTAAGCCCCAGGGCACTCATGTCAAGATCTCTTAAACGCTCTCTCTCTGGGCTCTGCTCTCTGCCTGAGGATCAACAGTTCTCCTTGAGTGGTGAGGTGAGGGGTGGTCTTCCCTTCCTTAAGCCATTATCTAGGAGTCCTACCGTTTCCTGGCTAGAGTGGGGAGGGAAAGTAAAATGCCCACTGCTCCTCACCAACCACCATCTCCTCCCCCATCACCCATTTCAAAGAAGTCTGACCAACAGCTGATAGAGGAGGTGTGAGAAGCCAGGGAGATGCTCAAGAGTCATGCAGCCACTTCCGAGTCAGTTCTATGGGATTGAGTCAAAAGTTCCTCTGCAGCACATGTGGGTTGCTGTCAACTTTTGAGCTCAGCTCTGAGGCTTTAGGTGTTAATTCTGAAGAAAATAGGGAAAGTGCATTCAATACTGTTGCACATTCATTTATTCGCTATAAATTGAGTCTCTATGATTCACCAGGCCCTGTGTTGTGTGCTGGGGCTGATGTGAGGATGATGGGAGGGTTATATACCAGAACTAGCTGCAATACTCAACTCTAGATAGGCTTTAAGTAGTCTGGGGAGAGTATACACACACACACACACACACACACACACACACACTTTTGTAAGAAGTATAAGAAACATATTTGCCAAAGGTTATGGAAACCCATTGAGAGAAATGAGGCCTCACTGAGTGGTGACATTTGAATTAGGTGTTGAAGGATGAGTGAGTCTGATAGAACAAAAAATGGGGAAAAGTCACAGCTACTTTAAAGAAGGTGGTGTGTGTAGGAAATGGAAAGAAGTTTGTGTGGCAGGAATACATGGTATGTGTTCTTGTCGGCTAAAGGAGATATTGGGAGATAGAGCTGTAAATGTAAGTTGGATCTAGGTCAGGAAGAGCCTTATGCCCCATGATGGATCCTGAACTGTGAATAACTGAAGGAGTTCAAGCAGAGTAATAACTAGAGCTGGATTTTAGAAAGATCATACTAACAACTCTGTTGGGAGGGCATCCTGGCACATCTGTTGGGAGTGGTTGTGCAAGGAGGGAATCTGGAAGTGGAGAAAGTACTTGTGAGACTACTATGTAGTCCTGGTGGTAGGTGACAAGGGCATGTGCTAGGGCAGTGGGGGTGGACACTAAAAAGAAGATGTGATTTGGGAGATATTTCAAAAATAAAACTGACTAGGAATTCCATGGTAGTCTAGTGATTAAGATTCCGTGCTTCTATTTCAGGGCCCCCAGGATTTGATTCCTCATTGGGGGCCAAGGATCCTGCATGATGTGTGGTGTGTCCAAGGAAAGAAAGTTCACTGAACTGGCTTGGGTCACCAATTCATTGTAGAGACTCAGAGATGGCTATGCATCTTCTGTCTTGCGTGACTAGATAGAGTGCTATCTACAACTAGGAAAAGAAGATGGAAAACACAGAGGGGGGGGGGCAGAGAGGAGACAAAGAAAAAACAAAAGAAGAAGGGGAAGGGAGGAGAAGAAGAAGGGAAAGGGAGGAGTGGGGAGGAAGAGACAGGGAAGGAGAGAAGGAAGAAAAGGAAGAGAGGAGGGAAGGAAGGAAGAAAGAGAACACAAGGAAGGAGAGCAGATTTCATGGGGATAACAGACTGGGTCTTATGTCATGTTTGAGATCCTGCAGGTCACCCAGGTTTTGAACAAAACACAGCATTCATCTCAAACTGATAGATGGATTTCATAACAGTGATTTTTACTGAGATTATATATATAATATATTATATTTATATTATATATATTATATATATAATATATTATATTTATATTATATATATTATATATATATATGTATTTTATATATAAAAGCTCTGAGATTGAAGGACATGTATGCACTTCTCTGGGTTATAGATGAATTTGTGGAGGTGATGTTTATTTGTCAGGGGATTTGATAGACATCCAATTTGACAACCATTCATTGAGCATCAGTTGAATACCAGGCACCATGCTGGCCGCCTGGGCTTTGCTTTTAAGGAACTCAGTCTTGTTGATGACTCAAAAATGCACATGTCTTTGTAGCAGAGGAACCATGTAGAGGAAAGAGCACTCTCCTGGGTTTAGTTTAGTTTAGTTTAGTTTAGTTTAGTGTGTGCTTTGTCACTAACTGGTTGCTTAATTTTCAGCTAGTTACACTTCCTCTCTGGTTCTCAGCTTCCAACCACAAAGTTAGAGAAGTGGTTTAGATTAAACTAAGTTCCCTCCAAACATCAACCATTAGTGATTCCAAGTCTCACTGTATAAAAGTGCTATGGGCTCTCTGAGTCATATGGCAAATCCCTATTGGCTGTCTCACATATGGTATTATAAATTTCCATGTTACCCCCTCCATACATCTCACCCTCTCCCTCCTCCCCTCCCGCTGTGTCCTGAGGTCTGTTTTTCTATGTCTGTTTCTCCACTGCTGCCCTGAAAATAAATTAATCAGTACCATTTTTCTAGATTCCATGTATGTGCATCAGTATATGATATTTATAGTTTTCTTTCTGACTTACCTCACTCCATATAATAGGCTCTATGTATGACTCAGGGGACTCAAACAGGGGCTCTGTGACAATCCATAAGGATATGGGACGGAGATAGGAGGGAGGTTCAGGAAGGAGGGAAGATGGGTGTACCTATGACTGATTCTTGTTGATGTATAACAGAAAACCACAAAATTCTGTGAAGCAAATATCATTCAGTTAAAAAAACAATGTGGCCCCCCTTCCCTCCCAAAAGTGCTATGAGATCCCAAAGACAGATCAGTCCTAGGAAAGGCTGACATTTGACTCGGGGCTTGTGAATGAACAGGATTCCAGGATATGCAAATGACAGGAAAGCCCTTCTATGGAGGAAGTACAAAGAGTCTATATTAGAAAATGGGGAAGATCACCCTGTGACTGAGAATAGGGTGTGGAGAACAACAATTGTGGGAAGCCTGGAGAGGGGAGTGGGCAGCACTGGGTGGAGAAAGATCATAAACTCCTTGCGAAGGGTTTTATTTCAGGCAATGGGACTTGGAAATGATTCCCTCTGTACAATCCACTGGAGGGTGGAGGTCAAGATAAGGTGTGATGGGCATCATAAAAATGGAACAAAACATCCCATGGCTCAGAGGTGAGACAGATCAACTTTGAATGGAGAAAACTAAGGGGTGTATTTATTCACAGTGTATTCAATCCCTTTATGGGAAAAATATGAGGCCCAAGGTGAAGAAACAAAGATAGTGGCAGTTACTTTTTCCCCAACCAAGGGTGACTGATGCATCCCAGCATGTAGAAGAGGAGTTCTTTTAGTAACAGCAGCTGATGGTGCTCTGGTGGAAGAACAGTGCAGGAATCATGTGAACTGTATCAGTGGCCCCCATGGAGTTGGGCAATAGACAAACAGAGCCCTCACTACTTCTCCATGAACCTCTGCCAAAACCTACAGGGTCTGGGTACTTGGTAGACTCCCAGGATTAATAGACTCTTAGGATCAGCATTACATGGGAGCTTGTTATAGATACAGGGTCTTAGCCTCCACCCAGGCCCACTGAATAAGAATCTGTGAATATGAATAAGAATCTGTAAATGTGAATAAAAATCTGTGAAGAAAAAAAAAAAAAAGAACCTGTGAATATGCGATCCTCAGATGACCCATGAGCACTTTGAAGTTTGAGAAGCCTTCTCGCTTTCTGAACAGATCTCTCCTCACTCAAACTCCTTCTCTGAATTTATTTCCTATTTCTTGGATTTTCTAGGAAGCACACTATATCAGATGCCAGTTTGAGGGTAAGAATACATCATAATGATCCATAATATCTTCCTTATTTGTTCATTCATTCATTCAAATATTTCTATGAATATTCATTCATTCCTATACTTCAGTGTGTATCCTATCTGCATCTCTGGTCCTCCTGGCCATGACTGTGCCGGGTTCCTTCTGGCAGGATGGGAAGGATTGCGGTCCTAGTGTGCAAAATCCACTTACTTGGACAGGTAGATATTGTTACATGTGCAGGAGAGAAGTTATCCTGGTGTCAGATGCTGAGCTTAGACAGACAGACAGGTGCGTATGGAATGCAGTCCCACCATGGAGAGGTCTATAACAAACCCAGTGTACACATCTCCATGGGTGTGTGCTATCCCACTCGGCAGAGCCCACCATAGCCATACCAGACTGATGGCAACTGGGAAAAGCATTGACTGGGAGCAGGTTGTATTCATGGCAGAGCTCGGGTGTCATCCTCATGGAGGAGTAGTGGGGATATGTGTGAAGCTCAAGCACAATAAGGAAGCCAGGCAACATCATGGGCCCTTGGTTGGGAACAATACACTGCTTGGGATGTGTGGCAAGGCTGTCAATTTGGAAGTAGACAGGAGTCCCTTGGGGCCCCGTGTTTTGTTCAGATGAAGGTATGGGCACTTGGGGCCCTGGCTGCTGGGTGTGGCCTGGGGTGGCTTAAATCTTCCCACACAGTCTGGAGCTGTGTGGACTCATCTGTGAGGAGTGAATGGATCCAAGAACTGGGGCTTAGAGGCTGTGGTGGAAGCACCCTTCACCTGGGAGTAGATGACACAGGAATCCTGGGGGAAAGAACACACAGGTGAGGGCCGGAGACCAGTGGGCCTGAGATGGGAGGGTGCACAGGTCCTGGGACTCACCGTGTTCTTGAAAAGCTCTGGTTCAGTGGCTGCTGTGGAAAGAAGGGAAGCATTCAACTGTGAACTCAATTCTCCACTTGTACCCAAGCCAACAGCCCAACCACACCCTTCATGGGGCCTGCACAGCCACTGAACCTTTACTAAGACTCTCAGCCTCACAGCTTCCACCAACTCTCTCCACAGCATCGCTACACTCTTTGGTCCCCATGAGGAGCTCCCCCAGGGACTCTCAAAAGGAAGAAATCTACTTTTATCTTGCTTATGCTTTGATCATAGATTAATAATGGATATTAGGGAGAGGGGCTGCCCATGTGGTTCAGTGGTAAAGAAGCCACCTGCGAACGTAGATTTGGGTTCTATCCCTGGGTCGGGAAGATGCCCTGGAGGAGGAAATGGCAACCCACTCCAGTATTCTTGCCATGAGAACCCCATGGACAGAGAAGCCAGGTAGGTTACAGACCATGGAATCACTAAGAGTCAGACATAATTGAGCATGCACGCATGTTATGGAGAAGCAGCTGGCTTGGAGCAGATTCCAGATCCAGACCACCTAAACTGAGCTCCAGTACCACCTCTGCAGCCGTGGACAAGTCCCTCAGTATCTCCCGCTTTAGTTGTCTCATCTGCATGGTGGGGATAATAATATCTATCTATAGGGTTGTGTGTGTGTGTGATTTATAATATCTGTTATACATTGAGCAATTCCAGTGTGAGGGTCCAATTCTGAAGGCTATTAACAAACAAACTATAAATATGTATGTATATATTTAGGGCATATATATTTTAAACATTTATTTATAGTACTCAGAACTGTACCAGGCACATAAGAACTGCTCAACACATGCTGATATAATACTAGAAGCTGCTATTATTATTACTATATTTTTTTAAAGATGGAAAGAAATATGACATTCATCAATCAGGACTTTGTCTTTTAGCTTGGAGCGAATTCTAAGGCTCCCTGGAACTGTCCTTAGAAGTAGAGCTTGGCCCAACACTTGGATTCTGGAGACAAACTGTTCTGTGACTTCAGGCTGGTCATTTAAGGTCTCTGCCTCCATTCCCTCATCTGCGAAGTGGGCATAATAGAAATACTCTCATCAAAGGGGATTATAAGTGTGAATGAGTTCATTCATGTTAGAGGTCAAGAAGCCACTGAACCAAGAAAAGAACAAAATACAGTTCATTTGTCATTTGATTTTATATAAGAGGGATTACAAAAAAAGGGTGGGGGGGAGCAGCATAGCTAAAATCACGTGGCAGATTTTTTCAGAATAGAATTAAAACAGCCCCAAAGGTTGTTCTTTCTTATGCCTGCAGGAAGAATCCAGGCTGGGATTGTTCATTGCAGACCATCTACCAGGAGGGAGAAATAATGACGCAGCCAGACAACCAGCATAGACTCATCATAAAAGGTGCTCAGATTCTGTTGCTGCTATAGCGTCTCTACATCTGCTTCCTCATCTGGTCCTCACAATGACCCTCTGAGAGAGTGTAGTTAGCTGAATAATGTCTCCCACAAAGATATCTATGTCCTAACCCCTAGAACCTATGAATATGTGACCCTAGAAGGAGAAAGGGATTTTTGCAGATGTGATTAAGATTAAGGACCTTGGAATGGAGGGATTTTCCTAGAGTACACAGGTGGGATTTTAAGAAGAATTTTAAAATCTGAGAACCTTTCCTATCTGTGATCAGAGGGAGCACTGACTATGGAAGGAATGGTTAGAGAGATGCCACATTGCTAATTTTAAAGACAGAGGGATGGGACCATGAGCCATAGAAAGGGGTATCCTTTAGAAGCTGGAAAAGGCAAGGAAATATATTCTTCCCTGGAGCTTCCAGTAAGGAACTCTGTGGACACTTATTTTAGCTCAGTGAGACCTGAGTTAGATGTCTGATTTACAGCACATTAAGATAATTAACTAGTATTGTTTAATCCATCCAAGGAGTGGTGGCTGCATGGTTGCAGAAGGGCCAAGAGGAGCTACTCCATGTTCAAGGTCAGGAGGGGCAGCTGTGAGAAGATATCCCTCCTCCAAGGTAAGGAGCAGCGGCTGTGCTTCTCTGGAGCAGCCGTGAAGAGATACCCCATGTCCAAGGTAAGATAAACCCAGGTAAAAGGGTAAGTGTTGTGAGAGAGCATCAGAGGGCAGACACACTAAAACCATAATCACAGAAAACTAGCCAATCTGATCACATGGACCACAGCCTTGTCTAACTCAGTGAAACTAAGCCATGTGGTGTGGGGCCACCCAAGACAGACGGGTCATGGTGGAGAGGTGTGACAGAATGTGGTCCACTGGAAAAGGGAATGGCAAACCACTTCCGAATTCTTGCCTTGAGAACCCCATGAACAGTATGAAAAGGCAAAATGATAGGATACTGAAAGAGGAACTCCCCAAGTCTGTAGGTGCCCAATATGCTACTGGAGATCAGTGGAGAAATAACTCCAGAAAGAACGAAGGGATGGAGCCAAAGCAAAAACAATACCCAGTTGGGGATGTGACTGGTGATAGAAGCAAGGTCCGATGCTGTAAAGAGCAATATTCCATAGGAACCTGGAATGTTAGGTCTATGAATCAAGGCAAATTGGAAGTGGCCAAACAGGAGATGGCAAGAGTGAATGTCAACATTCTAGGAATCAGCGAACTAAGACAGACTGGAATGGGTGAATTTAACTCAGATGACCATTATATCTACTACTGTGGGCAGGAATCCCTTAGAAGAAATGGAGTAGTCATCATGGTCAACAAAAGAGTCCAAAATGGAGTACTTGGATGCAATCTGAAAAATGGCAGAATGATCTCTGTTCATTTCCAAGGCAAACCATTCAATATCATGGTAATCTAAGCCTATGCCCCAACCAGTAATGCTGAAGAAGCTGAAGTTGAATGGTTCTGTGAAGACCTACAATAGCTTTTAGAACTAACACCCAAAAAGGATGTCCTTTTCATTTAGGGGACTGGAATGCAAAAGTTGAGTACAGTTCAGTCGCTCAGTCGTGTCCGACTCTTTGTGATCCCATGAATCACAGCACACCAGGCCTCCCTGTCCATCACAAACTCACAGAGTTTGCTCAAACACATGTCCATCGAGTCGGTGATGCCATCCACCATCTCATCCTCTGTCATCCCCTTCTCCTCCTGCCAAGTAGGAAGTCAAGAAACACCTGGAGTAACAGGCAAATTTGGCCTTGGAGTACGGAATGAAGCAGGGCAATGGCTAATAGAGTTCTGCCAAGAGAACGCACAGGTCATAGCAAGCACCCTCTTCCAACAACACAAGAGAAGACTCTACACATGGACATCACCAGATGGTCAACACCAAAATCAGATTGATTATATTCTTTGGAGCCAAAGATGGAGAAGTTTTATACATTCAGCAAAAACAAGACCAGGAGCTGACTGTGGCTCAGAACATGAACTCCTTATTGCCAAATTCAGAATTAATTGAAGAAAGTAGAGAAAACCACTAGACCATTCAGGTATGACCTAAATCAAATCCCTTATGATCATACAGTTGAAGTGAGAAATAGATTTAACGGACTAGAGCTGATAGAGTGCCTGATGAACTATGGACAGAGGTTAGTGACATTGTACAGGAGACAGGAATTAAGACCATCCCATGGAAAAGAAATGCAAAAAAGCAAAACGGCTATCTGAGGAGGGCGTACAAATAGCTTTGAAAAGAAGAGAAGCGAAAAGCAAGGGAGAAAATGAAAGATATTCCCATTTAAATGCAGAGTGCCAAGGAGAGATAAGAAAGCCTTCCTCAGTGATAAATGCAAAGAAAGAGAGGAAAACAACAGAATGGGAATGACTAGAGATCTCTTCAAGAAAATTAGAGATACCAAGGGAATATTTCATTCAAAGATGGGTTCGATAAGGACAGAAATGGTATGGACCTAACAGACACTGAAGATATTAAGAAGAGGTGACAAGAATACACAGAAGAACTATACAAAAAAGATCTTCATGACTCAGATAATCACAATGGTGTGATCACTCACCTAGAGCCAGACATCCTGGAATATGAAGTCAAGTGGGCCTTAGAAAGGATCACTATGAACAAAGCTATTGGAAGTGATGGAATTCCAGTTGAGCTATTTCAAATCCTGAAAGATGATGCTGTGAAAGTGCTGCACTCAATATGCCAGCAAATTTGGAAAAGTCAGCACTGGCCACAGGACTGGAAAATGTCACTTTTCATTCCAATCCCAAAGAAAGGCAATCTCAAAGAATGCTCAAACTACTGCACAATTGTACTCATCTCACATGCTAGTAAAGTAATGCTCAAAATTCTCCAAACCAGGCTTCAACAATACAAGAACCATGAATTTCCAGATGTTCAAGCTGGTTTTAGAAAAGGCAGAGGAACCAGACATCAAATTGCCATATCCACTGGATCATCAAAAAAACAAAAGAGTTCCAGAAAAACATCTATTTCTGCTTTATTGACTATGCCAAAGCCTTCGACTGTGTGGATCACAATAAACTGCAGAAAATTCTGAAAGAGATGGGATTACCAGACTACCTGACCTGCCTCTTGAGAAACCCATATGCAGGTCAGGAAGCAACAGTTAGAACTGGACATGGAGCAACAGACCGGTTCCAAATAAGAAAAGGAGTACATCAAGGCTGTATATTGTCACCTTGCTTATTTAACTTCTATGCAGGAGTACATCATGAGAAATGCTGGGCTGGAAGAAGCACAAGCTGGAATCACAAGCTGGAATCAAGATTGCCAGGAGAAATATCAATAACCTCAGATATGCAGATGACACCACCCTTATGGCAGAAAGTGAAGAGGAACTAAAGAGCCTCTTGATAAAAGCAAAAGAGGAGAGTGAAAAAGTTGGCTTAAAGCTCAACATTCAGAAAACTAAGATCATGGCATCTGGTCCCATCACTTCATGGCAAATAGATGGGGAAACAGTGGAAACAGTGGTTGACTTTATTTTGGGGGGGGGGTCTCCAAAATCACTGCAGACGGTAATTGCAGCCATGAAATTAAAAGATGCTTACTCCTTGGAAGAAAAGTTATGACACACCTAGATAGCATATTAAAAAGCAGAGACATTATTTTGCCAACAAAGGTCTGTCTATTCAAGGCTATGGTTTTTTCAGTGGTCATGTACGGATGTGAGAGTTGGACTGTGAAGACAGCTGAGCACTGAAGAATTGATGCTTTTGAACTATGGTGTTGGAGAAGACTCTTGGGAGTCCTTTGAACGGCAATGAGATCCAATCAGTCCATCCTAAAGGGGATCAGTCCTGGGTGTTCGTTGGAAGGACTGGCGCTAAAGGTGAAACTCCAATACTTTGGCCACCTCATGCGAAGAGTTGACTCATTGGAAAAGACCCTGATGCTGGGAGGGATTGGGGGCAGGAGGAGAAGGGGGCGACAGAGGATGAGATGGCTGGGTGGCATCACTGGCTCGATGGACATGAGTTTGAGTAAACTCTGGGAGTTGGTGATGGACAGGGAGGCCTGGCGTGCTGCGATTCATGGGGGTGCAAAGAGTCGGACAAAACTGAGCGATTGAACTAAACTGAACTGATTGTTTAAGCCCTTGTGGTTGTTTGCCACAGCAGCAGTAAAAAAATAGATACAGGCATTGAAGACAGTCCTGTCTCATTTCACAGACAGGACATGGAAACTCTGAGGAATTAAGTGACTGTCTGGGGCAGTGGCTTCATTACTCAGATGATACTGAGGCCATCCATAGATAATGGAGAAAGCAGTTCTGCACAATAAGATTGAGCTAATCCCAGTAATATAGCTGGGCATAACTCAAGAAGTCCAGTGACCCAGCGCAAGGGGCATCTCTATGTCTGGTTAGCCCAGACCTACTGAAGGGGTGGAGAATGAGTCACACAGAGCAATCAATCACCAAAATCAAGGGTCCTTGGGTCTTACCTGTGACTTTGTTCTCCTTTTTCACACTCCAGACTTCTGAGTACACCACCTCTCCTCTGTTAGGATTTACTTGGAGAGAAGTTGACACTTGAGAGGACTCTAAGATTCATGCCCCCTTGTCTTGCTACTTCTTTGTCCCCCATTCATAGCTATTCTTTAGAGGGAGCAGAGCCCTCTGAGCATCTGCACTGCCCCTTCCTCATTTCCTGTCCCACCCCTTCCCAGACCAACCCTGGAGTCCCTGCCCAAATGGGGGGCCCTCAGTCCTCACCATTGCTGTATACTGGTTGCAGTTCTACCCAGCCTGGTACATTGTGGTAGGTGGACTCTTGGGGATCTGGGGCTGAAGGATTCCTATGAGACAGAAACATTGATGTTTCCCAGAAATCCTGAAAAAGTAGTTCTAAGGATCATTCCCTGTTAGCAAGTCTTTATCACAGGATAGTTGCCAAGCCTGAAAACATAGATGAGTGTATAACAAACAGTCTATTGTTAGGGACTATTAAATTATAAATCATAATATTAATCCAGACTTTATGGTATGTGTCTGATATATACCAAGCTCTGTGCTAGTACCTATAGCAATATTAAGTTGATTCTGTTTTTTTCTCTATTTTATAGATGGGGAAAATTGAGGTTCTAACAGATGACTTGCTGAAGACTATGTAACTAAAAAAGGAAAGAACCAGGATTCAAACCTGGCTCCAAAGTCTATACATTCAGAAAGATTGGTATCTCAGAGAAATCCATAATTAGAAAGGCTCAGAGTAACTTGGGGTGGTTTGGATGTTGTTGCCATAAGCTTGCCCAGGAATAGTTGTGGTGTGGCTCCTAAAGTCAACCTTGGGAATTCAAGGTGGCAGCCCCCTCACAGGCCCCACCTCCTGTTAGCAGAGAGGTGTCTCTGGATGGCAAAGTTGTGTGACTTCATCTTCTTGGCTGTCATCATAACAGATATTGGTTAGGCTGGGCTGGCCATGACCTAATCAGAGCTTTCCAGGCTTACTAACCTTAGAGCATGTTAGGAAACGGATGGATTCTGTGGTCATGGTGATCACTCATACAAACTAGGCAACAGTGGGCCAAGGATGTAAGTTTATAAGTAAAAAGCAATTACTTGCTGAAAGAAAACAAACAAACAAAAAAAAACGGAGAAGGAAATGACAGTATTCTTGCCTGGAGAAGTCCATGGACAGAGGAATCTGGAGGGTTACAGTCCATGCGGTTGCAAAGAGTCAGACGCAACTGAGCATGCAGGCATGAAAGAAAAATAAAGGTCTGTTTAGCTAAGTTGGTGGGTGAGAAAGTCCAGGGAATTGCCTTGAGATAACCCAAGGGAGGTGGCAACATGGAATTGGCATAACCCATCTCAGTGACATGAAGCAGTGACTGTGCTCTCAGCAGTGAAAGTAAAAGTGTTAGTCCCTCAGTCGTGTCCCACTCTTTAAGACCCCATGGACTATAGCATGCCAGGCTCCTCTGTCCTTGAAATTCTCCAGGCAAGAATACTGGAGTGGGTAGCTATTTCCTTCTCCAGGGGATCTTCCCAATCCAGAGATCAAATCCAGGTCTCCCACATTGAGAGCAGATTCTTTACCATCTGAGCCACCAGGGAATCCCTGTTCTTAGCAGTAACCAGATTCAATTCATTTTTATACCCAGTGGGCATTTCATTAACCATATGGGAATACAGTCAGGCCTTACCTGGAGGAATCAAATGTAGGCTTCCTTCCTGAAAGAAAAGCAGAGAAGCAGTGAGTCCAGGAAAAGGAAGACTTCACAAGTCTTCCTATGAGCTCAGGAGGCTCATCTAGAACCTGCCAGGAGTCACTGTCACTAAAATGTGAACCCTGCTTTGTTATTTGCAATGGAGGTGGCAGATTGGGCAAAAACTACTGATCCTGTCTTCCAGAAATCTGTAGTTATAATGCAAAAGAGTAGCCCACAATCCACAATTGTTTAACCTGGAGTTTGTGAAGAACAACAGTCAATAACTGGATGTGGGAAAAGAGACTTATCTACTATGAAAGTACCATACATTTATAAAATTAATAAGTTATCAAGATTCCATTTGATTTCTGTTCTTGCTCCTACTTCTCAGAGTTTTTCTTTTTCTATTCCTGTCCCCTGGGAGTCTTTCAAGGGTAGAGAGGGAGATACACTGCAATTTGTCACGTTGGATAAACGACATCTTGTAAAAGTAACTTCAACCCAAAAGGGCTGTTTTGGCAACTTGGCATTTGAAGAAGACAAATTCTGGAGGATCTAGAGGGGAAGGTAGGAGCTGTGGAATTGTGCAGAAAGGAGCTGTTGAGAGCTTGGGGGTGGTTCCAAAGGCAGCATGAGCCTAAAGGAACACAGATGGGAAGGACAGGGACTCAAGCGAAGGTTAGCCAGGGAGTCACCCACCTGCTTTTCTCAGGAGCCAGCAGTAGAACAGCACTGCCACGGCAGCAATGGCCATCATGCTGAGCAGCCCCCCGGTGACACTGGTTGCAATAAGGCTGCTTTTGCTCCCTGTCAGCCCTAAGGGGGAGACCCCAGGCATGAGCCAGAGGGAGAGGCTTGTGGTCTTGAACTGCCTGACCCCTGAAGCTGATGCCTGGGAGAGAGGATGAACCAAGGGGAGCAGGACTCTTGAGATTAAGTAGGTATAGATGTGGCACAGGAAATGGCTCTTCTCTTTGTGGGGAAGATTATATCTGTGGCTGATGTGAGGGTTGAGGGTCAGGATGGATGATACTAACTGATGAGCATTAAATTCAGTGGTCCTCTTTGGCTCTCCTTTCCCATCCAGATTACATGCTCTCAGAAACACTTCTGAAAATAACAACTTGGAATGCTTCCAGCTTTGTGTACCTGTTCTTGAGAGGCACCACCCTGGTCAAGTATTGAGAGGGCACACAGAGCATCCTTGGAGAACATTTTTTTGTCCTCCCTGCCCTGTGGCCTGGGCATGGAAAACTTACCCATGATAGAAAGTGTCACTGCCTCACTGTGCTGGGGACCCAGGCCATTGTCGGCCTTACAAGAGTAGGTCCCAGAATGATCTGCAGTCAGCAACAGGTTTAAGGACACTCCTTGTCCAGAGTGAGATGTGCTGGTCTCCAGGGTGACATTATTGTGATAAAACCAGTACAGGATCGGGGGAGAGCCTCTCTGGGCCTCACAGCGAAGTTCTAATACATCTCCCACCACAACCTGGGTCCTGGCGGTCCTGAGGGTGAGGACAGGGAGAGACACTGGAACTGGGGGAAAAACAAAAAGTCAATAGAAGGCCCTAACTCCAACATATTTATAAATGAACAAAAAATAATGTAAGCAAATAATAACAGTCAGTTCTCAACCTAGGAAAATGGGTTGAAAACATATATGACAGACAAACTTAGTGACCTGAATCCACAAACAGCTTTCAATGCACAAAAATATCCAACAGGAAAGTGTGAAAAGGCGATGAGCCACTAGAAACTTCAAATTGCCAATAAGTAAATAAAAATATTATCTTCCTCATTACTTGTTAACTGTTTACAAACAAAATGCCCATCAGATTGGAAAAGATTAATACAGCACAGATAATTATGATGGAATTGTGGATTAACAGGCACCTTGATAGACTCTTGGTGGGAACGCATATTTGAGACACTTTCTTGAATGGAGATTTGGCAATATTGATCAAATTGAAAATGCACTTAAATTTTGACCCAGCAAATCTACTTATAAGACTATTTTCTTTAGGGCTAATAACATGACTAACAAGGGAGAACAAGATGGCAGACATGGAGTACATCTCTCTCCACAGATACATCAGAAATAGACCTTCACACACAGAAGTGCACGGAGAACACCAGCTGAGAGAGGACAGGAATACCTGACCAGCAGAAAAGAATATATAGAACCACACAAAACTGGGCTGGGGGTGGGGGGCAGGAAACAGGATTGTTAGTAGGACTGGACCTGCCCTCCTAGATGGGAGAACTGAAATGGGGTCCAATCACCACACTGGGGCAATGTCTTAGTCAGGGGAGAAATATTTAAGGCTGAGAAGGAAACAACTGATCTGTGGCAGTCTAAATGGAATGAGAATCAGACAGTCCTTGCCGCAGCCAAATATACCCTGGACAGGGATACAGGTCCCCTGGAAGGCACAGTAGCTGGGAGCTGAAGTGTAGGGATTGTGAAGCAATCCCAGGGCAAGGGCTGCTGTTGACTGTGCATAAATGGGTCGAGGGGATATGAGGGAGGAGATTGTGGTGGGAAATGCCTGTGGAGGAAAGCCAGGCAGCCATGGAAACAAGGCGATACTGCTGAGTCACACTTAGGGGGGAGTCATCACCATAGCCTTTCTCTTCCTACATGCCAGCATAAACAATAAAGAGGCTGGCCCATCAAATGCCTGATGAACTGAACTACAGAGTAGGACACCAACCAGGGTGCCCCTTTAAGTGCCTGATGAACTGATCTACAGAATAGGAACCCAGTCAAGGGGGGCCCTCTATGTGTCAGACACACCAAACAACAGAGAAGGGCCCCAGGCAAGGGAGCCCTCTGAGTGCCTGAACAGGCAGAGCTATGGAGAAAGACTAGTCAAAGAGGCCTTCTGGTAGCCAGCTACAATAAGCCTGAAAACAGATTCTGATAGGGCCATAACTCCTGTGGTGGAGGCAGTCCATGTCCTCTACACACTTGGTGCTGCCAGGGTCCCCACAAGTCAAGCAGCTGAGCCACCTTCACACTCAACCCTCACTGGAGCAGAGCTGCCATAGGCAAAAAAAAAAAAAAAAAAATCTTGCATCTATGCATGCAGGGTTGCTTCAGTGGTGTCCAACTCTTATCTGTCAGGGGGTTCTCCAGGCAAGAATACTGAAACGTATTGGCCAATACTGGTTGCCATACCCTTCTAGAGCATTATATTTCCTGATGCCCTAGCCGCCAACTCCCCTGAGTACCTGGTGCTGCCAGAACCCCTGCAACCCAAGCAGCTGCACCACCTCCACACCTAGCCCACACTGGGGCAGGCCCAAGTCCTCCAGGACAGCCTCAGGAACAAACCCCAGTGGACGAGCCACATCAGAAGTGGAAATAAAGCCATAATTGAAACCTAGGGGCAGTGTGGCTAAGGAAGAAGACCCAAAACCTTCCCACCAGCTGTACAAGCTGCAGATTACATCCACATGATCAACTAGGCAGACTCTGTGTCTATGGAATATATAAAAGGACATTGAGAGCTCCCATAAAAGAAAATTCACTAGTTCCGATAGGTGTGGATGTTGGAGGCAAGAACACACAAGAGTAGGACCAGATTACAATCCAAGCTGCCCCCAGAGCAGGTCCAGAGTTCAGCACAGTGTTAGAGGGCATCCTAGGGAGGTGAGAAGAAAAAGATCTACAAAGCCAACCCCAAACAATTAAGAAAATGGCAATAGGAACATATATATCAATAAGTACTTTCAATGTAAATGGATTGAATGCTCCAACCAAAAGACACAGACTGGCTGAATGGATACAAAAACAAGACCCATATATATGCTGTCTACAAGAAATCCACTTCAGACCTAAAGACACAGAATGAAAGTGAGAAGATGGAAAAATATATTCCATGCAAATGGGAAGCAAAAGAAAGCTGGAGTAGCAATCCTCATATCAGACAACACAGACATTAAGACAAAGCAGATTACAAGAGATAAGGAAGGGCACTTCTTAATGATCAAGGGATCAATCCAAGAGGAAGACATAACAATTGTAAATAGATGTGCACCCAATATAGGAGCACCTCAATACATAAGACAAACACTAATATATATAAAAGGAGAAACTGACAGTAACACAATAATACTAGGAGACTTAAACACGCCACTCATACCAATGGACAGATCATCAAAACAGAAAATTACTAAGGAAACACAAGTCTTAAATGATACATTAGATGAGATTGGTCTCATTGATATCTTCAGCACATTCTGTCCAAATGCAGAAGAGTACACCTTCTTCTCAAGTGCACATGGAACATTCTCCAGAATAGACCATATCTTGGGTCACAAATCAAACTTCAGTAAATTTAAGAAAATAGAAATTGTATCAAGTATCTTCTCTGACCACAACGCTATGAGACTAGATCTCACTTACAAGAAAAAAAAAAAAAAAACTGTAAAAAACATAAACACATGGAGATTAAACATACATTTCTAAATAACCAACAAATCATTGAAGAAATCAAAAGGGAAATAAAAAAAATTTCTATAAATAAATAACAATGAAAACATGAAAACTCAAAACCTATGGGATGCAGCAAAAGCTGTTCTAAGAGGGAAGTTTATAGCAATACAATCCTACCTCAAGAAACAAGAAAAACATCGAATAGACAACCTAACTTAACACCTAAAACAGCTGGAAAATGAAGAACAAAGAAACCCCAAAATTAGTAGAAAGAAAGAAATCATAAATATCTGAGCAGAAATAAATGAAAAAGAAATGAAAGAGAGCAGTAATAAAGATTAATAAAACTAAAAGGTGGTTCTTTGAGAAGATAAACAAAACTGACAAATCTTTAGCCAGACTCATCAAGAAAGAAGAGAGAAGAATCAAATCAACAAAATTAGAAATGAAAAAGTAGAGGTTACAACAGAGAATGCAGAGTATTATAATACATTATAATATAATTATATAATTATAATAATATAATATAATAATTATAAAATTTAATATTATTAAATACAAAAGAGACAATTATGAACAACCATATGGCAAAATAATGGATAACTTAGAAGAAATGGACAGATTCTTAGAAAAGTTCAATCTTCCAAGACTGAACCAGGAAAAAAATAGAAATTATGAACAACCCAATTACAAGCACTGAAATTGAAGCTGTGATCAAAAATCTCCCAAAAGCCCAGGACCAGATGGCTTCACAGGAGAATTCTATCAAACATTCAGAGAAGAGCTAATGCCTATCCTTCTAAAATTCTTTCAAGATCTTGCAGAGGAAGGAACACTTCCAAGATCATTCTATGAGGCCACCATCACCCTGATACCAAAACCAGACAAAGACAACACAAAAAAAGAAAACTACAGGCCAATATCACTGATGAACATAGATTCCAAACTCCTCAACAAAATTTTAGCAAACAGAATTCAGAAACACATCAAAAAGCTCATACACCATGATCAAGTTGGGCTTATTCCAGGGATGCAAGGATTCTTCAATATATGGAAATCAATCAATGTGATACACCATACTAACAAATTGAAAAAAAATATGATAATCTCAGTAGATGCAGAAAAAGTCTTTTACAAAATTCAACGCCCACTTATGATTAAAATTCTTCAAAAAATGGGCATTGCAAAAACCTACCTCAGTAAGAGCCATATATGATAAGCCTACAGCAAACATTACTCTCAATGGTGAAAAACTGAAAGCATTTGCCATATATCAGGAATAAGACAAGAGTGTTCACTTTCACCACTATTATTCAATATAGTTCTGGAAGTCCTAGCTATAGCAATCAGAGAAGAAAAAGAAATAAAAGGAATCTAGATTGGAAAAGAAGTAAAGCTCTCACTGTTTGCAGATGACATGATACCATACATAGAAAATCCTAAAGATAGTATCAGAAAATTACTAGAGCTAATCAGTAAATTTAGCAAAGTTTCAAGATACAAAATCAATACATAGAAATCACTTACGTTTCTGTATACTAACAATGAAAAATCAGAAAGAGAAATTAAGGAATCAATGCCATTCACCACTGCAACAAAAAGAATTAAATATCTAAGAATAAACTTACCTAAGGAGACAAAAGAACTGTACACAGAAAATTATAAGACATTAATGAAAGAAATAAAATATGGATAAATAGATGGAGAGATGTTCCATGTACCTGGGTAGGAAGAATCAATATTGTGAAAATGACTATTCTACCAAACGCAATCTACAGATTCAATGAGATACCTATTAAATTACTAATGGCATTTTTCACAGAACTAGAACAAAAAATTTCACACTTCATATGGAAACACAAAAGACTCCGAATAGTCAAAGCAGTCTTGAGAAAGAAGAATGGAAAAGGTGGAATCAAGCTTCCTGACTTCAGATTATACTACAAAGCTACAGGCATCAAGATAATATGATACTGGCACACAAAAAATATATAGGCCAATGGAACAAGATAGAAAGCCTAGAAATAAACCCATGCACCTCTGGGTACCTTTTTGACAAAGGAGGCAAGAATATACAGTGGGGCAATGACAGCCTCTTCAATAAATAGTGCGGGGAAAACTGGACAGCTACATGTAAAAGAATGAAATGAGAACACTTCCTAACACCATACACAAAGATAAACTCAAAATGGATTACAGACATAATGTAAGACCAGAAACTACAAAACTCTTAGAGAAAAACATAGGCAGAGCACTCAGTGACATAAATCAAAGCAAGATCCTCTATGACCCAACTCCTAGAGTAATGGAAATAAAAATACAAGTAAACAAGTGGGACCTGATTAAACTTAAAAGCTTTTGCACAGCAAAGGAAACTATAAGCAAGGTGAAAAGACAACCTTCAGAATAGGAGAAAATAATGGCAAATGAAACAACTGACAAAGGATTAATTTCCAAAATATACAAGCAGCTCATACAACTCAATACCAGAAAGACAACCAACCCAATTAAAAAGTGGGAAAAAGACCTAAGGAGACATTTCTCCAAAGACATATAGACGGCTAACAAACATGAAAAGATGTTCAGCATCACCCACTATTAGAGAGATGCAAATCAAAACTACAATGAGATATCATCTCACAGCAGTCAGAATGACTGTCCTTCAAAAGTCTACAGACAATAAATGCTGGAGAGGCTGTGGAGAAAAGGGAATGCTCTTGCACTGTTGGTGGGAATGTAAATTGATACAGACACTATGGAAGGCAGTATAGAGATTCCTTAAAAATCTAGGAATAAAACCACCATGTGACCCAGCAATCCCACTCCTAGGCATATATTCTGAGGAAATCAAAATTGAAAAAGACATATGTATCCCATTGTTCACTGCAGCACTATTTACAATAGCTAGAACATGGAAGCAACCTAGATGTCCATCAACAGATGAATGGATAAAGAAGTTGTGATACATATACACAATGGAATATTACTCAGTCATAAAAAGGAAAGCATTTGAGTCATTTCTAATGAGGTGGATGAACCTAAAACCTATTATACAGAGTGAATTAAGTCAGACAGAAAAAGATAAATATCGTATTCTAATGCATATATCCATAATCTATAAAAATGGTACTGAAGAATTTATTTACAGGGCAGCAATGGAGAAATAGACATAGAGAATAGACTTATGGACATAGGGAGAGGGGAGGAGAGGGTGAAATGAATGGTAAGAGTAACATGGAAACTTACATTACCATACATAAAATAAATAGCCAACGGGAATTTGATCTGTGGTTCAGGAAACTCAAACAGGGGCTCTGCATCAACCTAGAGGGGTGGGGTGGGGAGGGAGCTGGGAGGAAAGTTCAAAAGGAGGGTGTATATGAATACCTATGGCTGATTCATATTGAGCTTTGACAGAAAACAACAAAATTCTATAAAGCAATTATCCTTCAATCAAAAAATAAATTAAAAAAAAATGACTAACACATCATTGTAAAATAATTATACTTCAATTTAGAAAAGGAGAGATTCCCTGGTGATGATAGTGGTTGAGAATCTGTCTGCTAACACAGAGGATGCGGGTTTGGCCCCTGGTTGGGAAAAGTTCCACATGCCATGGGGTGAGTGAGCCCGTGCACCACAACTACTGAAGCCTGTGTGCCCTAGAGCCTTTGCTCTGCAACAGGACAGGCCACCACAATGAGAGCCCCCACACCGCAACTAGAGAGTAGCCCTGTGCTTGCTGCAACTAGAGCCCACGCACAGCAACAAAGACCCAGCACAGCCAAATACACATAAATAAACAAGTAATTTTACAAAAGGATTTGCAAATATATTTGCACAAATATTTCTGTTGTAGATTTTTTGCAGTTGCTAAAAACTAGAGAAAATATAATCAACTCACTTGTAAAACATGAAAGATACCCCCAAAAAAATTTTAAGTAAAAAATGCAAGCTGCGTAACTATACATGTAGTATGATTCTACTTGTAAAATTTCTATGCCTTTATAATATATTTTAATATTTCTAGAAAAATACACCTGCAAGTACTGACTGCGGTTATGTCTTGGAAGCATGTAGGTATGAAAGTGTGTGCATGCAGGTAGAAAGAGAACCTTACTTTTCATATTGTCCCTTTTGTACAATTTGATTTCTTTTTATAATAAAAGTTTATGTATTCTTTCAAATAATAAATTATTAAAAAGTTGTGTTAAAGCATGAGATCTCATCAAAAGATGAGAGATGTCATAATGTAGATTTACATTAAGAGTTGGATAGGCTTGTTTTTCAACCTGGCTTTACCATTGTTAACTGTCTGTAAGCTAATTACTTCCCCTCTCTAAGCTTCAGTTTCCTCTCCTGCAAACTGAAGATAAAAAATGATCTCATTTATAAATCAGTGCTTCATCTTAAGGATTAAAGGAGATATGTGAGGCCATTTATCCCTGGTAGTGAAAGAAGTTCAAGAGTAGAGGTTCATCGGGAGTCAATGAAAGAAAAACCTGGCCCAACATTTTTGGAGCAGAGAAACCTATACTTAGAATTCTTTAGTTTACCTTTTGTATCACATTCATAGATCAAAATGCAGCCTATGTTCTTAAAAACCTTCTTTGCATTTTTACTGAGGCTTTTTGTTGTTGTTGTTGTTGTTGTTTGATCACACTCAAGAAGACTTAACTGCTGTTGGGAAAGTCAAGGCTCCTAAACAGTAACCACAGCAAGGGCCCCAGACTTCAGTTGGAGGTTCTGTGGCAGGAAGTACGCTGGGCTGTTACCCAGCAAGCAGTAGTCTTGGAGCTCCGCTTCGGAGGCCAGGGAGAGAAGACACACAGTCCCTGGTTGTGATGCTTGTGGGCAGAACCAACTCACCTCTGACATTGAGTGACACTGCCTCACTACGCTGGACCCCCAAGCCATTGTCAGCTTCACAGGAGTAGTTTCCAGAATGTTCTGTGGTCAGGGAGAGGTTGAAGGATGTTCCTCCTCCAGAGAGGCTTGAGCAGTTCCCCAGGGCGACATCTTCATGATAAAACTGGTACCGGATGGGGGGAGAACCTCTCTGGGATTCACAGTGAATTTCCAGTACATCCCCCACCACAGCCTGGACCCTGGGAGTCCTGAGGGTGAGGACAGGATGAGACACTGGAACTGAGGGAAGAAAAAGGGTTAACCAGCATTTCCTATTGTTTAAATGTGTTCCACCATAGAAAAAACATTTCAAACAGAAAAATATCTTTATCAGTTTTTAATGACCTTGTGATAGCACTAAGAACTGAGTTACAATTTCTTCAAATCTGAAGAAATAGTATCATATATATCACTATATATCATATATATCACTATATATCATATATATACATCATATATATCACTATATATATATAGTGCTATATAGTTGGAATACTTAATCAGTTCAGTTCAGTCACTCAGTTGTGTCCAACTCTGTGACCCTGTGGACTGGGGCACGCCAAGCTTCCCTGTCCATCACCAACTTCTGGAGCTTACTCAAACTCATGTCCATCGAGTCAGTGATGCCATCCAACCATCTCATCCTCTGTCATTCCCTTCTCCTCCTGCCTTCAATCTTGCCCAGCATCAAGGTCTTTTCCAACGAGTCAGTTATTCATATCAGGTGGCCAAAGTATTGGAGTTTCATCCTCAGCATTAGTCCTTCCAATGAGTATTTAGGACTGATTTCCTTTAGGATGGACTGGTTGGATCTCCTGAAGTCCAAGGGATTCTCAAGAATCTTCTCCAACTCAAAAGCATCAATTTTTCAATGCTCAGATTTCTTTATAGTCCAACTCTCACATCCATACATGAATACTGGAAGCACTGTAACTTTGACTAGACAAACCTTTGTTTGCAAAGTAATGTGTCTGCTTTTTCATATGCTGTCTAGGTTTGTCATAGTTTTTCTTCCAAGGAGCAAGTGCCTTTTAATTTCATGGCTGCAGTCACCATCTGAAGTGATTTTGGAGCCCCTCTACCCGCCAAAAAATCTGTAACTGTTCCATTGCTTCCCCATCCATCTATTTGCCATGAAGTGATGGGACCAGATGCCATGATCTTAGTTTTTTGAATGTTGAGTTTTAAGCCAGCTTTTTCACTCTTCTCTTTCACTTTCATCAAGAGGCTCTTTAGTTCTTCTTCACTTTCTGCCATAAGGGTGGGGTCATCTGCATATCTAAGGTTATTGATATTTCACACTTATCATAGCAAACACCCTCTTCCAACAATACAAGAGACAACTCTATACATGGACATCACCAGATGGTCAATACTGAAATCAGATTGATTATATTCTTTGCAACCGAAGATGAAAAAACTCTATACAGTCGGCAGAAACAAGACTAGGAGTGGACTATGCCTCGGATCATGAACTCCTTATTGCAAAATTCAAATTTAAATTGAAGAAAGTAAAGGAAAACCACTAGACCATTCATGTATGATCTAAATCAAATCCCTTACGCTTACACAGTGGAAGTGACAAATAGATTCAAGGGATTAGATCTGATAGACAGAGTGCCTGAAGAACTATGGATGGACATTTGTAACATTGTACAGGAGATGGTGATCAAAACCATCCCCAAGAAAAAGAAATGAAAAAAGCAAAATGATTGTTTGAGGAGGCCTTACAAATAGCTGAGAAAAGAAGAGAAGTGAAAGGCAAAGGAGAAAAGGAAAGATATATCCAGCTGAATGCAGACTTCCAAAGAATAGCAGGGAGTACTTAATACACAATCTCAAAAATGTTTGAAGAACCTGAAAATAAAGATTAAATTGAAACTCAAGTATCAGAGTAGTCAAAAGAAGTGATCAGTTCAATAGAAAATGAGGACAAGGAAGACTGTTGCTTACATAGCCAGGGATGTAATTGAGCCTTGGCTGCATCAAAAATAAGACCCAAAAGAGAATAGATATTGACCAAATTATTGGCTAATTTTATATTTATTCATCTATCAGAAATTAATTAAGCAATTGATAAGTCTTAGGAACAGGACGGTATACTGGGGATTCAACAGTAAGAAAGACACAGGCCCTTCTCTCATGAAGACTACAATATAGATGAGATGTTAAGAAGCAGTTAAATAAAAATACAAATATAGAACATTGATATAAAGAATAGGATGCTATGAAATGTATAGTACTGGGGCTTGATCTAGTATGGGTTAGTCAGGGAATGCTTCCTCACAAAGTGACATTTGGGTTAATCAGGTGAAGAAGGGAATGAAGACTGCACAGGTGGGGAAACTGTATGTGCAAAAGCCCTGAGGTGGTAAGAACATTGGAGCTTTTGTGTTATTGAAACAAGGTAATAGCAGCACTATGGGAAGCATTTGAAGAGTGCCAAGAAATAGGAGGCTGAAGAGCTAGGCAGAGCTTCACAAGCCATGGTATGGCTTTTGATCCTTTTTCACAGAGCAATGGGAAATCTGTAAATGTCTCTCTACAGAGTCATGAGATGATCAAACCTGTCTTTAAAAAAAAGAAAAGGACAATTCTGATCTCAGTGTGTAAAATAGATCATAATGACACAAAATTGGAGTGGAAAGGTTATTAGAAGTGGAATAGAGTAGTGGCATTGCAGTAATTGAAATGATGGTACATATAACTATGATAGTAGCAGTAAAGATAGAAAAAAAAATCTGAGAAATATTTAGAAAAAATAAAAGCAACAGGATTTAATGATTAATTGGCTATGGAGAGCAAAGGAGAGAAATGTCAAGGAAGACTCCTGGATTTTTGTCTTGTGTATCTAAATGAATGGAGGTATCTTTCACAGAAGTGGGGATACTTGAAGGAGGACCAGGTCTGGGGGGAATTCCATGCATTTTAGAGGTGTGCCAGGTCATGAACTTTTAAGAGATATGGCATAAGCATGTACTTATTTGGGAGGTTTTGTAGTTAAAAGTTTAAGAATCATTTATATAGATGACATTCCCAGGATCATCCAGAGAAAAAACATGTTAATATATAAGACAAGAGGATACATGCCAGACAAAGTTCGGGAACACACCAATGCTTAGTTCATCTATAAGGTGAGGAGCTAGCAAAGGAGACTGAGAAGGAGTGGCAGAGAGAGGAGATCCAGGAGACAGTGAAGTCATCGAAGACAAGGAAGGGATGGTTTCCAGAAGAATAAAAAGATAAACAGCATGGACTGTTTCTGAGAGATCAAGTAAGGTGAGGATTGGAAAATGGCCATTGAATTTAAAGCCATGGAAGTCATTGGTGACCTTTGTAAGAATAATTTTGGTATAAAGGTCAGAAGAAACCAAGGTTTAATCCTAGTGGATAATAAGGAAATGGAGGCAACCTGTGCAACTGACTCTTCTTTTGGAAATGTAGTCATAAGAGAACAGTGACTGCACGGATGTGTACTCGTTGCTTAGTCATGCCCTACTCTGCGGTCTCACGGACTGTAGCCTGCCAAGCTCCTCTGTACATAGAATTTCCCAGGCAAGAATGCTGGAATGGGTTGCCATTTCCTACTCTAGAGGATCTTCCTGACCCAGGGACCAAACTCACATCTCTTGTGTCTCTTGCATCAGCAGGAAGATTCTTTACCACCTGGGAAGCCCAACTGGAGGCATAAATGAGGTCAAATGGGTTTTTCCCCCCTTAGACATGGGAGAGATATAGCATGATAAACTCAGTAGGAAGGATCCTATAGAGCAGGTGTTAAGGGACATAGACAGAAAGTTGTTCAAATTGTCTGAGAATGCAAGCAAGGATGGAATCTATTATAGAAATGAGATGGTGATTTTCACCTTTTATAGGAAGAGTCTTCTATTCTGTACCTTAGGAAGAGGAAGGATAAGTTACTGGATGGATACAAACACTCAGTAGGGTGGTTGGGAGCCACAAGTGAAATTGTCTGGGAGGAAGTAAAGGTGTTAATGAACTGGGAGTTCTGTTGAGGTCTGAGGATAAAAGTGATTAGAGAAGTTGAAGAAACAAGCAGAAGGATAGAAGGCTGTGGTCAGGTAATTGGAGTAGTGTGTATACGGGGGAGTGGATGAGAATTGTGGAAAGGATGGCAAGCCATGGTGTTGAGTGGGTCCCCCATGTGGACATTAGAGTCATAGAATGATGACAGAGTATAGAGTGGAAGACTATGAGAGCAGTGTCAAGCTTGCACTGACAGTGGGCATGACTAGGAGGTCAGCCCATGATGGCCAGGTGGGAGAGAGTGCTACTGCTGGAGGACAGGTAAGAGAGTATGCAGGAGAATGATGTTGAGAAGCCTTTTAGCAGGAGTTCAGGGTGGACATCTGAGCTGCCCTGTGATAGTGGCAGGAGAGGCTAGAGCAAAATTCATGAGCCCATGAAAGAATGAGTTGGCCTTTTTATTGACTGACAGATAGAGGAAACCTCAACTAAATCTCTTCTGAGACAGGTTGAACTTTATAATTTCTTTTAAACTTTTTTGCTGATCATTGTTAGCCAGGATGCAACTTGCATTTGAAAAGCCTTTAATCCTACATGAGGATACTTTGGGTCACAATGGCTGCAGTGTTGCTGCCAGGAGAGGCAAAGCAAGCAAAGGGAAGGCTCAAGTTCCTGAAAATGTAGAATACAGAGCCCTCAGATGGAGGCTGTGTAGACAGCAGGCTAGCAATGATGTCCCACAGCAAGTGGCCCTGGGGTGCCTCCAATCTCGGCTACTGGAAAAGGTGGGGGAGATGGTCCATCTCTGGTTGTGCTGTAGTTGGGTCCACTTACCTCTGACACTGAGTGGCACCATGTGACTGCGCTGGGCCCCCTGGCCATTGTTGGCCTCACAGAAGTAGTTCCCAGAATGCTCTGTCTTCAGGATGAGGTTGAAGGAAGCACCCCCTCCAGAGGGACTTGAGCTGCTCCCGAGGGTGACATCCTCATGATAAAACTGGTACAGGATCGGGGGAGAGCCTCTCTTGGCCTCACAGTGAAGCTCCACCACGTCCCCCACCACAGCCTGGCCCCTGGGAGCCCTGAGCGTTAGAACAGGGCGAGATACTGGAACTGAAAGCAAAAACGAGTTAGTTGATATCAGTATCTTTTCCCATTTCCTCTATTTTTATTTTCCAGAGGTTACCTCTGTTGATAATTTGGTGACACTTTCTAGATCTTTTCTATGTGTAAGAACACTCAGCCTTATGAACACAAATAAATGCATAAAAAACCCACATATATGCATGGGAGCACAAGGTATGTACTGGTCTACAAGCTGATTTTTCCAATTAGCAAAATATCATGACCATCATTCTATGTTATTACTTAAGGGTCTATCTCACTCACTTAAAAAATCAGTTTTATTGATGTATAATTTACATACATAAAAAGCAACTCTTTTAAATTTAAAATTTGATATTTTAGGGTAAATATTGCTAGGTTATTTTTAACAACCACAAAACATTCCACAGTATGAATTTACTGTAATACACTTAAGCAATTCCCCATTATGGAACTTGAGATTGTTATCATTTTCTAATTTTGAATAAGGCCCCATACACAATTCTGTATATATATCATTGTGCTTTGTCAATACATGTCTTAGGATAAATTCTTACAAGTGGGATTTCTGGAATTGAGATATAAGCATTCAAATAACAATATATAGTGCTGCATTGTTCTTCAAAAAGTTTCAACCAATTTGCGCTTACACTCACTGTTTATAAGAGTCTCCTTCCCCCACTCTCTGATCAATTACAGTCACATAAACACACAGACTTATTTTCCTTATGATTTCTCTTTTTCTAGTCTTAAACTTTACAGTTGTTTGTCTGAAGAATTTACTTATTCTATTCTATGGGAACCTTACACTTTACTGATTTTTTATGGACTGCTAGTGAATTATAATCCATTAATGATGAGTTGCAGTCTATAAAAGTATTCAGAAATTATTTGCAAAGTGAAAACTTTTGAATATGTCATTAATTTTTCTAAATTACCAAATGAATGTTTGTCCTCCCTTGTGAAATAAGAAGAAAATTGGTTTTTTTATTCCCTCTATTCCCTCTGACTGATTTTTCTTTGTTACATGTATTTTTAACTTTTCAGTTCAGTTAAGTTCAGTTGCTCAATTGTGTCCGATTTTTCATGATCCCATGGACAGCAGCACACCAGGCTTCCCTGTCCATCACCAACTCCTGGAGCTTGCTCAAACTCATGTCCATCGAGTCAGTGATGCCATCCAACCATCCCATCCTTTGCTGTCCCCTTCTCCTCCTGCCTTCAATCTTTCCCAGCATCAGGGTCTTTTCAAATGAGTCAGTTCTTCGCATCAGGTGGCCGAAGTACCAGAGTTTCAGCTTTAGCATCAGTCCTTCCAATGAATATTCAGGACTGATTTCCTTTAGGATTGACTGGTAGGATCTCCTTGCAGTCCAAGTGATTCTCAAGAGTTTTATTCAACATCACAGTTCAAAAGCATCAATTCTTTGGTGCTGAGCTTTCATTATGGTCCAACTCTCACATTCATACACAACTACTGGAAAAACAGCTTTGACTAGATGGAGCTTTGTTGCCTTTTACTGTTTTATCATTTATAATAGTTGCTTTCTATTCTGTAGCCATAACTCTTATATTGTCTAGCCTTTATTTTTATGTCTGAATCACTGATTTTCAACCCTATTTGTACAATATTTTCAACTGAGGATGTGTTAAAAAAGGGGGGGATTATGAGGCGTCATCTGAAAGACTTTGAACTAAATTGGTCTGGAGAGAGCTTAGTAAAATATCTTTTTCAATATTGCTAGGTGTCTCATTTTTAATTTAATTTAATTTTTAATTGGAGGATAATTACTTTATAATATTGTGATGATTCTTCCATACATCAGCATCAATCTAACATGCAGCCAAGGCTGAGACCTACTGATGTGAATAGATTCAGTATTCACTTTTCATATCACAGTTTCTTCATTTTGAGTCTTTTATATTGATTCTTATCTCTGCTGGGCTAGAGTTTGTCATCAAATAATTTTTCAAGAGGGGTTAACAGGTACCAAGTTCTTTGAATCCTTGCACCTTTGAAAATGTCTTTTTGATTTGATATCAGTTCAGTTCAGTCACTCAGTCGTGTCCAACTCTTTGCAACCCCATGAACTGCAGCACACCAGGCCTCCCTGTCCATCACCAACTCCCGGAGTCCACCCAAACCCATGTCCATTGAGTAGGCGATGCCATCCAACCATCTCATCCTGTGTCGTCTGCTTCTCCTCCTGCCCTCAATCTTTCCCAGCATCAGGGTCTTTTCAAATGAGTCACCTCTTCTCATGAGATGGCCAAAGTATTGGAGTTTCAGCTTCAACATCAGTTCTTCCAATGAACACCGTGGACTGGTTGGATCTCCTTGCAGCTCAAGGGACTCTCAAGAGTCTTCTCCAACCCCACAGTTCAAAAGCATCAATTCTTCTGAGCTCAGCTTTCTTCACAGTCCAACTCTCACATCCATACATGACCACTGGAAAAACCATAGCCTTGACCAGATGGACCTTTGTTGACAAAATAATGTCTCTACTTTTTAATATGCTGTCTAGGTTGATCATAACTTTCCTTCCAAGGAGTAAGCATCTTTTAATTTCATGGCTGCAGTCACCATCTGCAGTGATTTTGGAGCCCAGAAAAATAAAGTCTCTCACTGTTTCCACTGTTTATCCATCTATTTGCCATGAAGTGATGAGACCAGATGCCATGATCTTTGTTTTCTGAATGTTGAGCTTTAAGCCAACATTTTTACTCTCCTCTTTCACTTTCAATAAGAGTCTCTTTAGTTCTTCAGTTTCTGCCATAAGGGTGGTGTCATCTGCATATCTGAGGTTATTGATAAAATTCTCAATTCTCATTTCTCCTCTGAAAGTGCGAGTCTGAACATTGTTTCTCTCTTTTAGTATTGACTTCTATGTAAATTCTAAGATCACTTAATATTTTTCTTTCTGAGATGACTATTTTTTTTTTTTTGCCATGATCATCACACATACTCGTGCCTGTGCATGTGTATATTTTTAGCCTTGAAAATCAATGACCTCATCAAGATATGTCTTTTAATCTATATACTCAAGTTTTCTTCAAGTCAAGACATTTTTTAATTAAATCTTTGAGTTCTGTTTCTCTCTTTAGACACTTAACTATCGACACTTGTGTTCTTCATTGTCTGATCTCCATTTTTTAATTTCTTTTTCCTTTTTCCTTTTTCTGTGTCTTTGTACCTTGAGTTCCATATTATTTTCTCATACCAACTCCATTCTGTTAACAGATTTCAGAAGTATGCATTCTATTCTTACTCCTTCAAATTTGGATTTTATTTCTAAAATAGCTTTATTGTTTTCTTTGGTTTTTCTCCTGAGCTCTGAGGTATATATATTCATATTCTTGTTTTTCTTTCCTGTTATCTTATCATCTCTTCTTTAACCTCATTAAGTTCCCCATTGTACTTTTCTCCCCACCGGAGTCCATATTTTATTTAATTGTATTAAGAATATCCAGAAAATTTTTTGTTTCCTGAAGCAATCCTTCTTCTTAAAAGTATTAGGTATTTTGTGCCTTTTCTCTCCCTTTTATAGTTTTAAATGCATCGATGCAAAAGTTCCCATATTAGACTTCTTTTGTTTATGGCTTACACTTCAATGAATAAAGTTATATTTGGACTCTTGTATTTGCTTGAGAATGCTCTGAGTATGTGTGTGTGAGTATGTATGTGTATGTGTGTGTGCTGATAGATTCAAAATGGGCATATCTTATCAGTTTATATTCCCACGAAATTTCCATGTCTTCTCTTTGGGGTACATTACCTCAAAAAGAAAAAAAAAACAGAAACAAAAACCCGCAAAACAGATTATTTTGCCAGAAAGTCTGCATGGCTCACAGTGAAGCTTCTCAATTTGTGTGTTATTTTAAGGCTCATTTATTTATGTTCAGTTGGTATAAGCAGATGCAAAGACCAGTGTTCTCTCCCTAATCTTTTCTTCCTCATCTCACCTGAAACTTTTTGTTCATGGAATTACAAACGCTCACTGAAGATCTACTTTTGCCAGACACCAAGTAGGCACAGGGATGCAGAGCAGACCAAAACTAAAAAGGTTCCATTCTCATGAAGCTTATACTCTGGTATTGAGGAAGATACACATGAAACAAGAAATAAAAGGGTTTTAGATAGCATTAAATTTGAGAAGAAAAGAAAACATGATCAGGAGAAAGAGGATGTCTTAGGACTTGGGACTTTCCTAGATAGCTCAGCTTCAGGCTTTAGAGTTTGAATCTCAGAGCATTTACATTTCACAAATAATCTCTTTACTCAACAATTTATATAGGGGCAGTGTCTTCCTTTGGTCATGTTTTACTATGATCTGAAACAAGAACTGTCAAGGAGTAAGAGATCTTTCAGACTGATTAGTTTCAAGATAAGACCAAAGCAATAAGGACTCCAGATGGACCCATGGGTTCCTAAGACCACAGACCATAACAGGAACTTGCCTAATTTAAAGTTCTGACCAGACCACACTTGTAGTTACCATCATACTCTGACTAATTCCTGCTTCTCAAACCCTAAAATTGACTCCCCTAACTCCTCCCCACTACCTTGAGGGATGATGAGACTCTGTCAAAGTGATGCTCTTCTTTGCTTTTCCGGGTAAAAAAAGGGACATTCATGGACCCTCACCTCATTTCTTCCATAGAATCATGAATTCATTACCTTTGGGTTCTTATTCCAACTCAAATCACAGAATTCTGGGGCTTTAAGGGACACTAATTACTGTCTTATCTAACTTTCAAGAGAAAGTGAAAACAGTAAGACAAAGAAAATTTTAAAATTTTGCCTAAATTATGAACTAAATTTGCCTAAATTATGAATTATTTTCACAACTAGGGCTAAAATTCGGATATTCTTATCCACACTGATATCACACAACTCAAGAAAGCTGTTTTGCATGTACACTGGCTCTTTCTAGGAAACCTCAGAGGTCTTGCTGTGTATATCATTCCTAGAAAAAGTATTTTCTTCAATGTAGTTCATTATATGTCATGTTGTCCCAACTGAGCCTGCTCCCTCTGCCATCACTTGTTGAACTGGAGGTGGGCAGCTGGTTTAAGAACATTTCATGTATAGACTTGCCTGTGGCTTCTGAGGTGTCTTAGAGTTAGGCTGCTTGGCTAATTAGACTTGTTGGAAGCACTGCTTTCGTAGCAAGCCATACAGCACTGGCAGCTGGGGCAGATGTTGAAATATGGAGTAGGATGTCCTATTCCAAAGTCTAAGGCAGTCAGTGATGAAGTTTGCAGGAGGTTTGAGGCAAGATAAATCATAAGATAAAAGTCTTAAGAATGAGAGTGGAAAGCACTTAGGAGCAATATGAAAAATCAGGCAGAAGGACAGAGAAAGGAAACAGATGGCAGGGCTAGGAGTAGATAATTAATAATGAAAGCATCTAGCTCATCAAGCATCAATATAACCTGTTTTTGAGAAATAAGTTGAATTCTGAGAAATCTCTCAGTTCCATTTCCATGAATCTGGATATGTTGTCTTCCTTTTTTTTTTTTTTTAATTCCCTGGATTTACTTAGCAAACCCTCACCCCCCAGAGACATCAAGGTCATTTTATTTCTTATCTAAAATGATCTGATACATCTGACTCAAGATTTCTCTGTCTTTCTTTCTTCTTCTTTGAAAAGAAAAGAAATCTTCTACACGAAGATTCCAAGAGTAAACGGAAGCAATTTTGCTCCTAAAATGACACTTTTTCATGGTTCTATGGGTAACCATGAACTATACTCTGATGATTCATATACATTTACAAATATATGCCATACTGCAACAAAACTGTAAAAAACATAATACAAAGAAATGACACTTGTGCTATTACTGGGTTAAGTCAAAAGATCTCAGAAACCCCAGAAAAACCAGTGAGTTGGCTTCCAGGAAGCCATTTCCTCCCTTCCTTTCACTTTCAGCCATCTTTAAACCCACTGCAAGAGTCTGAACTGGAGAAGGCAATGGCACCCCACTCCAGTACTCTTGCCTGGAAAATCCCATGGATGGAGGAGCCTGGTAGGCTACAGTCCATGGGGTTGCTAAGAGTCAGACACGACTGAGTGACTGCACTGTCTCTTTTCACATTCATGCATTGGAGAAGGAAATGGCAACACACTCCAGTGTTCTGGCCTGGAGAATCCCAGGGATAGCGGAGCCTGGCGGGCTACCATCTATGGCGTCACACAGAGTCGGACATGACTGAAACGACTTAGCAGCAGTAGCAGCAGCAAGAGTTTGAACTGTTTCAGAACCCTTTGGAGAAAGTAAGCTCTTGCCCATATGCTTGCCTATATGTCCATATGCTTGAGCTTGTAGCTAACTTAATATGTAGGTATTAGTGGGGAGATATGAGATGCTTCTGTGCATTCAGTTAAGAGAAATTAACTTGGAGACTGAACATGCAGGGCCTGAAAAAATAATTTGAGAACATAAAAGTGTTAGTCTCAACTCTTTGTGATCCCATGGCCTGTAACCAGCCAATCTCCTCTGTCCATGGAATTTTCCAGGCAAGAATGCTGGAGTGGGTTGCTATTTCCTACTCTAGGGGATCTTCCTGAACCAGGGCTGAAAACTGGGTCTTCTGCATTGCAGGCATATTCTTTACCATCTGAGGCACCAGGGGCTTTTGAGAAAATGAATTCATTTGGTAAAAGTGGGGGAAGGTGTTGAGCTATTTTAGGGGCCTGGTTGAGTAAGGGCTGAATGAAGACTGAAGCCCACAGATGGATGGTTCTTTGAGAAGGGAAACAAGATGGGCATTAGGTTGATGGAGTAGGAAATTGGAAGATCTGTGAAAATCTCTGAAAGGAGTTGGCATGACAAGGATCTCGGTCAGGGATGGGTCACTAGCAGGAATCCAGAGCTTACCAACGACAGAGAGGTTGATGCTCTCACTTCTCTGAGGGCCAAAGCCATTGTCAGCTGTGCAGTAGTAGTTTCCAGAATTCTCTCCAGTCACAGAGAAGCTATAGGACTTTGTTCTCCGTGAAGTAGCTTCTCTCCTTGTGAGCAACACATCTTCACGAAAAAACTGGTACCAGATGGGCAAAGACCCTCTCTGAACTTCACACTGAAGTCTCACCTCATTTCCCACAAGAGTCCGGGTTCCAGGAGGGCTGAGGCTGAGGACAGGTTGAGACACGGGCACTGAGGAAGAGAAAGACTTAGTCAACAATTGCTTCTGCCACTGCCTGGAGCTGTTAATCAGTGACTAGTGAAATATCCAATCTTATGTCCCCTGGCCCCCAGGACAGCACAAATCACACTGCCCCCTAACCTTGGGATTGGAGTTTGGGCACACATAGATGGGGAAAAAAACAAAAAACAAAACCCTGAGATTCAAGGCTCAACAGAAACCACTTTAACTTCATACTGAGCTGACAGTCACCTTGATGGAGTTTGGGACCTTAAGCCAAGCAAGCAGAGGTGAATTGCTCTTGGCTCAGAATGGATGCCCCTTACCCTGCTTCCAGCCCCTCCCCTCTGAGTCCTCTCACACTGCTGCATAACCAGCTCTAAAAGTGCTGACTCAAGAAGGACATCTTTGGTATAACCATGATCCTGCTCCCTGTCTTTGTATCTTTCATGGTTTTGTATCTGTAAATGACCAGTGCTTGCGTGCTCAGTTGCTCAGTCATGTCCAACTCTTTGTGACCACATGGACTGCAGCCTACCAGGCTCCTCTGTCCATGGAATATTTTCAGGCAAGAATACTGGAGAGGGTTACCGTTTCCTACTCCAGACTATCTTCCCAACCCAGGAATCAAAAGAGCATCTCCTGTATCTCATGCTTTGGCGGGTGGATTCTTTACCACTGAACCATCTAGGAGTATCTAATAGGAAAGGGGCAAGTGACAACTCAGTGACCCTGGGAACTGATTTTGTAGCTATGGGAAACAATGCAATTAATGAACATCAAAAATCTGTGGATTGGTAGGGCAAGAGGACAGAAAGAGAGAAGCATATGGCTCCTCAGAGTTGGGGTCCAGGAGAGAGAGAACTGACCTGCAGGAGGCCAGGGGTGTGATAACATCTGAGTTACTCACAGTATGAGGCTCAAAAGCAGCAGACAGCTGTCTCAAGAGAACCTGGGTGTTGAGAAGGACATAGGTTTGGCCAGAGGAAGAAGCAGGGGAACCTTAAAGGTGGGAACACATTTCTGGAGGGGTCAAGGACACAGGCCAGCCTTCCCTTGTGGCTCAGCTGGTAAAGAATCTGCCTGCAATGTGGAAGACCTGGGTTTGATCCCTGGGTTGAGAAGATCCCCTGGAGAAGGGAAAGGCTACCCACTCCAGTATTCTGGCCTGGAGAATTCCATGGACTGTATAGTCCATGGGGTCACAAAGAATTGGACATGACTGAGCAACTTTCACTTTCACAAGGATATAGGCCAGGGATGGGTCACTAGCAGGAATCCAGAGCTTACCAACGACAGAGAGGTTGATGCTCTCACTTCTCTGAGGGCCAAAGCCATTGTCAGCTGTGCAGTAGTAGTTTCCAGAATTCTCTCCAGTCACAGAGAAGCTATAGGACTTTGTTCTCCATGAGGTAGCTTCTCTCCTTGTGAGCAACACATCTTCACGAAAAAACTGGTACCAGATGGGCAGAGAACCTCTCTGAACTTCACACTGAAGGCTCATCTTATCTCCCACCAAAGTCCTGGTCCCAGGAGAGCTGAAGGTGAGGACAGGTTTTGACACAGGGACTGAGGGAGAGAAAAACCTCAGTCAGCAGTTGCTTCTGCCATGTCCTGAAGCTGTCAATCTGTGGCTAGTGAAATATCCAATCTTATGTCCCCTGGCCCCCAGGACAGCACGAATCACACTGCCCCCTAAACTTGGGATTGGAGTTTGGGCACACACAGATGGGGGGAAAAAAACAAAAAACAAAACCCTGAGATTCAAGGCTCAACAGAAACCACTTTAACTTCATACTGAGCTGACAGTCACCTTGATGGAGTTTGGGACCTTAAGCCAAGCAAGCAGAGGTGAATTGCCCTTGGCTCAGAATGGATGTCCCTTACCCTTCTTCCAGCCCCTCCCCTCTGAGTCCTCTCACACTGCTGCATAACCAGCTCTAAAAGTGCTGACTCAAGAAGGACATCTTTGGTATAACCATGATCCTGCTCCCTGTCTTTGTATCTTTCATGGTTTTGTATCTGTAAATGACCAGTGCTTGCGTGCTCAGTTGCTCAGTCATGTCCAACTCTTTGTGACCACATGGACTGCAGCCTACCAGGCTCCTCTGTCCATGGAATATTTTCAGGCAAGAATACTGGAGAGGGTTACCGTTTCCTACTCCAGACTATCTTCCCAACCCAGGAATCAAAAGAGCATCTCCTGTATCTCATGCTTTGGCGGGTGGATTCTTTACCACTGAACCATCTAGGAGTATCTAATAGGAAAGGGGCAAGTGACAACTCAGTGACCCTGGGAACTGATTTTGTAGCTATGGGAAACAATGCAATTAATGAACATCAAAAATCTGTGGATTGGTAGGGCAAGAGGACAGAAAGAGAGAAGCATATGGCTCCTCAGAGTTGGGGTCCAGGAGAGAGAGAACTGACCTGCAGGAGGCCAGGGGTGTGATAACATCTGAGTTACTCACAGTATGAGGCTCAAAAGCAGCAGACAGCTGTCTCAAGAGAACCTGGGTGTTGAGAAGGACATAGGTTTGGCCAGAGGAAGAAGCAGGGGAACCTTAAAGGTGGGAACACATTTCTGGAGGGGTCAAGGACACAGGCCAGCCTTCCCTTGTGGCTCAGCTGGTAAAGAATCTGCCTGCAATGTGGAAGACCTGGGTTTGATCCCTGGGTTGAGAAGATCCCCTGGAGAAGGGAAAGGCTACCCACTCCAGTATTCTGGCCTGGAGAATTCCATGGACTGTATAGTCCATGGGGTCACAAAGAATTGGACATGACTGAGCAACTTTCACTTTCACAAGGATATAGGCCAGGGATGGGTCACTAGCAGGAATCCAGAGCTTACCAACGACAGAGAGGTTGATGCTCTCACTTCTCTGAGGGCCAAAGCCATTGTCAGCTGTGCAGTAGTAGTTTCCAGAATTCTCTCCAGTCACAGAGAAGCTATAGGACTTTGTTCTCCATGAGGTAGCTTCTCTCCTTGTGAGCAACACATCTTCACGAAAAAACTGGTACCAGATGGGCAGAGAACCTCTCTGAACTTCACACTGAAGGCTCATCTTATCTCCCACCAAAGTCCTGGTCCCAGGAGAGCTGAAGGTGAGGACAGGTTTTGACACAGGGACTGAGGGAGAGAAAAACCTCAGTCAGCAGTTGCTTCTGCCATGTCCTGAAGCTGTCAATCTGTGGCTAGTGAAATATTCAGTCTCATGGCCACTGGCCCTTGGGGCAGCCCAGGGCCTACCTAGCTTTTCTCCCTAGCTCTCTCCTGTTCTCCTTGTTCGTCTTCTTTCCCATTAGACCTGGCCCTTCTCCTTTCCTATCTCCCCTTGTTAGGTCACCTCACTCCCATTTTCCAGAGGAATTGATGTTATTGAGGAAGAACTCCCTTATTTTGCTGCCACGAGACTCACACTGTTTACCTGCATCAGCCTCTTGCTTCTCCCCTGTCTGGTGACTTTGGAAAAGCTGCCCCTCCACCAACTCAAGGAGGATTCTGCTCCTTCTTGACCCTGAGCTCACCTCCATGTGTCCCAGATATAAATTCTCTGTATCTATTCGCTTCTTCCAAACACCACTTAGATGTGTTTAATCCTCTCCCCTTTAGTAAAACAACAAAACAAAACCCTATCTGCATTTAATGTTCCCAATGTCTGTTTCTTTTCTGTGGAAAGACTCATAGAAGAAGCATTGTCTCTACTTTTCTCTCTCACTCTGATCTTTTGGTCAATACAACCTTGTTTTTCCCCACCAACATACTAAATTTGATTTTTCATGTTTGTGATTATAATGATCGATGATAATAGTAGATTCTTATGATATAATATGGGAGAAGGAAATGGCAACCCACTCCAGTACTCTTGCCTAGAATATTCCATGAATGGAGGAGCCTGGTAGGCTACAGTCCATGGGCTTGCAAAGAGTTGGACACAACTGAGCGACTTCACTCACTCACTCACATGATATAATATAATTTTTTAATTATGTGTCTGGTGTGTATTTGTCATATATCATTTGTAAACATATGTAGGGAAACACTAATTTAATGATCAAAACAATCCTGAGAAGCTATTATCACTGCCTTTATTTCACAGATGAGGAAAAGGCCCACTGGGGCTAAATCACATAGCTAGTACATGGTGAGGCAGCCATCAAACCCAGCTATCAAACCAGGTTATCACCTGTATTCTTCCACTTTTCTTTTCAGTGTTTTGTGGCTAAACTCAGGAGATGTGACTCAATTCTTATCTTTCATCATATATCAGCTCTGCCTTCTCTGACTTGGCCTCTACTGTCTTTTGCTTAAAACTCTCCCTCACTTGGTTTCACTTTGTTAAATACTCCTACATTGTTGGTCTAGTCTATGTATCCTTAGATGTCAGTATAGTCTGGCATACAGATGTATGCAGTACTTACTTAAGAGGTGGATAAAGGAGAGCATCTTTGAGAGCATCTGATGATGACATCCTGCCTCCAAATTCCTTGGATCTGTGGATGTCAGGAGCACAGCTTCTCTGTCTCTTTCACTTGATGTCTCCTTCCAGGGTTCCCTGATCCTTTCCTTTAAAATCTTTTGCATATCTATTGTGGGAGGGGCTGCATTCTGGCTTACCTCCAACCTGGCTCTGCTTTTTTTTTTTTTTTCCAAATAGAAGAGAAAACAGATTGCTTCCAGAACCAGCCAGGACTGGACTCTACCATCAGTACAAACCCAAATCACACTGCTCCCTAAAATTGGGCTTGGACTTTGGCCACACATAGATGACACAAAACTGAGATTCAAGGCTCAACTGAAACCTATCTAACTTGATCTGACATTCACCTTCAGGGCCTTAACTCAAGCAAGCAGAGGTGAGTTCTTCTTGGCTCACAGTGGTTATCCCTTGATCTGCTGCCAGCCCTTCCCCATTTGGGCCCTTCTCACATTGCTACCTAAACAACTCTTAAAGAGCTTACTCAATGTAGTTATGTTGAATTAAACTTATGGTTTACTTATGGCAAACTT